ATTAATTAATCAATTTATAATAATGGCCGCGAGTTTGCGTCAGATCGAAATCGTCAGATTATTGAATGAGAGTTTTTGTTTTGTTGCACTCAACACCCTCTTAGAAAATCTGACGCGCTCGATTAATTTTTTTTCTTTTCACTTTTAACCCTTACGTACAACCACCCGCATCATGCAAACGATCAGATCAACATACCAACATTATTAAAAATACGATATGCTATCAATATACTATAATATACTATACATTCTCTAGACAAGAATTCCTGTTGACAGTAATTTACGTAGGAGTATATATGAAAAAGTTCCATCAAACTGCAAATATCTTGAAAGAAATTCAGATTACGACACAATCCAGTAGGAATCAATATGGAATATTAAATTGTGGACACTATTTGAATACCAAACCTCACTCTGGTATATTTCTCTTTGATATTTATTTAAAAGACTTTATATTTGTTATCCTTAATTGATTGAGATCACAAACCCAAACTTACAACTAATATTTATATTCCATTTCGGAATTATGGATTCGTCAATAAAAACTCATTAAGCGAGGAATGGAACTGTGTGCTCACATCTCAATTAGCACACTAATTAAAAATTATAATTTTGATTAAGACCCGAGCGATAATTAGCAGAGTATATGAGGTGTTTCAGTTGAAAAAAGTGCCACAGATTTGCCTTGAAAATTGATACCACCGGTATTCGTTTTGTTTCGAAATATGCATCTATTTTCTTGAGTAAATTGGCATGTTTGATGTGTATTGAAAAATTCTTAGCATACTATAGCATGGAAGGTTGAGCAGTTGTTCAAATTTTCATTTAGGAATGGTCGGAAAATATAGTACATGTATATAGTAACACACACTGGGTTTTTTCTTAAAAATAAGCTAAATACGAAGAAGAAAAACAAGAAAACTACCACTGCTCTTGCTAATTCTATTGAGTAATTCATTCAGATCTCCAGATCAAAACAATGTTGAGAAAGCATGAATGTAGTTATTTCTCATTGACTGAGGTTTGACTAATAATATTGCAATCATTGATATTTCTGTTTCTTGAGTCGTTCTCATGCATCACCGGCGTCGGATAAACAAGAGATGGTTTCGCAGGAAATCTGAAGAACTCAAGTCTGCCGATCTTGGTGGCTACTGCTTACATCCTAATAATCATTACTAGTTTTCTACGGATATTTGCAAGCGATACGTCTGAAATGACATAGTACATGCATCAAACATAGTTGGGAAGAAAATATTTAGCCAAATAAATGATTCTCGCCCATATTTTCACCAATATTTGCTGATGAAAACCATTCCCCACAATGACAAAACTTTTTCGATGGTCCCATAAACGATTATTATGAAAAATTTGAAATTGTAGTAGTAGGTGAGAATACCCAAGATAGTTCGATGATAAGCTTTGTTTCCTTTACGAAAAAAGTGTTTTGCAAATTCAGTTTTACGAACAGTGTTGTTTTTTAGAGTTGAAGGACCCCGTATATTCCCATTCATGGCAGTGAGTAAAACCAAGTAGTTTCAACTTCCCTATTTCATGCTTGTGCCATTGCAAAACGCAAAATAGCCCTTTAAATTTTCAAGAAAGAAGAAAATGTTTGAACTGAAACAAGGATAACTTCTCGTGATATTATGAAAAAATGCTCCTATGAGAAATGGATCAAAACTTTACAGATTTGGGGATATGATTCGTTGAAACTATGAGCAAAAATATATAATTGTATCTACTTCTTAAAACTTTATATAGAACTGCCACGTAATGATTGAAGGTGATTGACAATGTTTCGCGGTGCATTTCATCAGTTCGGACTTCCATTGTCTAATATGATATAAATTGATTTGAAATCCCTGAGAGAATCTGTAAAAAATTGAAAAAATTAGCTGAAAAAACTGAAATTGCAATGAAATAACATACAAGTAACAACCAAAACAAAACGAACCAAAACAAAGTCATTCGACTTCTTTCACCTATCCTCTCTTCCCTCTCCCCGCTTCATTGGTTTTTAACGGAAGCTGACCGTTTGGCGGGAGTTGGTAGTGTTCCGCTTAATTAGAGGTTTCCATATGTTACGTATCTCTACGCTAGTTTGGCTACTTGCGTTGGTGGACAACATATATGCGGCTTCTTTGAATTTTCTCCTAAACCAGTGTTCCTCCTTGTGGACGATTTCAGCTTGAGCCCACTTGATGTTATGTTGATGAGTCCAAACATGCTCTGCTATTTCGAATTTGCTGGTTTCTCCTCGCTGTGTGTGTGTTTTTTGTGCTCGGCAATGCGAACTTTCAATGGCCTTTTAGTTTTACCGATCTATGATTCTCCGCACTCGCAGGGTATTCGGTAAATGCAATTCTTGGAATTGCAGTCCGCGTTTGGCGGCCTGGTTTTCCTGAGACTGCTACGGATAGTGTTCCCAGATCTGAAGCAGGTTCTGATGTTGTACTTGAACCCAATTCTTCTTATCATTTTCGACAATCCTCTGATGTAGGGAATTACAAGTACTGGTTGTGGCGGCTTCTCTTCCTTGTGGAGCTCTTGCTGTCTTCTAGCTAAAGCCTGTTCTACCATCACTCTGGAGTAACCATTCCGTTGAAGGTCATTTTTTATGATGCCTAGTTTCTTTTCGAGACCTTTCTTTGTATTGCAGAGCCCGAAAGCACGGTTTAGCAGTCGATTGATGGTGATTGGATTCCTGGTTCAGATACTGTCCCGTGTGAGTGGGTTTTCGATATACAGATGTTTCCCATTTAGTGTCGGTCCTCTTCACCAATACATCTAAGAATGGCAATTCGTTGTGGACTTGCTTCTCCATTGTGAAAGTGATGGAAGGACTTACGTTGTTGATGTGCTTCAGGAAAATGTATATTTCTGCATTCCCATGGTTCCATATTATGAAGGTGTCGTCCATGTATCTGAACCAGCCTCAGGACTTCTTATATCATATTGGATAATGGAATTCCGAACTGATGAAATGCATCACGAAACATTGTCAATCACCTTCAATCATTAAAATTTTGAGAAGTAGATACAATTATATATTTTTGCTCATAGTTTCAACGAACCATATCCCCAAATCTGTAAAGTTTTGATCCATTTCTCATAGGAACATTTTTTCATAATATCACGAGAAGTTATCCTTGTTTCAATTCGAACATTTTCTTCTTTCTTGAAAATTTGAAGGGCTCATCCTGAAGTAGAAGTACAAGATAGGCTTTGTAAGTGGAATTTTCTAAACAATGAAAATACTGAAGTAGCAATCAATCCTGACAGCACCTGACATTTGGAAAAATTCAAACGCACCTATAAGAAAAACAGCCCGGTGATTTGAATCATAAACACTAAGAAAACCAATTAGTTTTTCATTCGCAANGGAATCATAGACACTAAGAAAACTAATTAGTTTTTCATTCGAAATATGCAGTACATATGCTGTACTAATTGAGGAATGCAACTGAAGTTTTTCAGCAAATAATCTCATATTACGGATTTACATACAAGCGTTTTGTATCGTAAAATAATTCGTTCAGAACGTTTTCAGTAAAAAGTGTAACAAATCGCGAAGTAAGTTTATGGCATATTGAAAATATGAAAGTGAAATTATATTGTGCTTTATAATAACTTTCCTAGCCGTCGTTACAGAAGAAAAAACATCCAGACAAAAATTTAACGCCTAATACAAAGCTGAATTAATATTATAATAATGAAATTTAAATGTTAATTTGATGCCGTTTAATTTTTGCGTTTTGCAATGGCACAAGCATGAAATAGAGAAGTTAAAACTACTTGGTTTTACTCACTGCCATAAATGGGAATATACGAGGTCCTTCAACTCTAAAAAACAACACTGTTCGTAAAACTGAATTTGCAAAACATTTTTTTCGTGAAGGAAACAAAGCTTTTCATCGACTTTCTTGGGTATTCTCACCTACTACTACAATTTCAACTTTTCAAATCTGCTTCGGTCTTCAGAATTGGACAAAATCGAAAGATACTTGCAGTTTCTTCTTTGGTTTGCTTCTTTTTTAATTTTTTTTCAAACATTCAATCAACAACGTTGACATATTTCAGTTTTCAAAACTCCTTTGACATCTATCGAAAAAGTTTGAGAATGGAGTGAATCATAGAAAAAACTGCAGAAATATTAGATTTTTAAAGTTCTGAGGGACGGAGACAGAATTCCGTCTCCGAAACGTTGAAATTTTGAAAGGCGAAGATATCCAAGAAGGTTAAAAAACTTCGAGTGCGGTATTCTGGGTTTCAACCTGCTTTCCTTGGAATTTGAAAGTTTTCAAAAATTACTATCACCAGATGCGGTGGTATACTAGTCTTAGTTTTATGATAAAGTCCTCATTATCTTCCAGTGGCTCAAATGAAACGACATTCTACTATTGTTCTACATTATTACTATTGTTTTGTAGGGGCGTTTGAAGGTCAGGAGCTCTTCCTGAAACTCCGACTTATTTGAAAAGGCGTGAAAGCAACCTCAGCAAATGATAGACAGGCCCAGTTTTTATTACTATTATTCGCATCATTAAATAAACATACTGAGGGAAAATTAATGAATGATACGACATTATATCTATATTTGAATATTTTTGGCACAACAAATTACGTAAACATATATTTCAAGGTTATCATCCTAAGTTCTTGATCATATTTAACGAGTCAGTGATGACATATGGAATCATATATAGTATGTATAAGTTTGCAAATGTCGTTATAGGACGAAATGCAGTAACGTTAGTTACAAATAAAAGTGGTAAAAAACATAGAAAGTTTCAATTCTCTTTTCTTCATGATTCCTAGCTTGCTCCGCATCTGTATATCTGGTGACGTCACACAAAACTACGTCCCCTTTTCCTGAACCGGGCTGTTTTTCCGTGAATATTCAAATTACGTGTCGACTCTATTTTTGGAACAAAAGAAAATAAAAATGAGCCTATTGCTTTGAATCCACCATTAATGTGCGCTTTTCTTCTTTCCAGGTAACTTTCTTGTCAAGAACACCCGTACCATACCAGACCTCATTCAGGATATATCACGTCATTTATGAGTCTTTGGCGAATATGGTTTCGAAGACATTACCAAAGTGCAACCTCTGCTGAATTTAATGTGCAATAATGGTCCATAATCTGGTGATTTACTCTAATGTGCGTTGTTACTAACGCTTTAATGTGCCAGCGTATGGGTATAGATGAACATTTAGTCGAAATTATAGCTATTCCAGGTTACAAGATCAAAAGATTCAAATCGTTTCTTTGATGTGAGGAACTGGGAAATTATACCGGGTTTTTTTATTAGTAGCGATTAGCTAGTTATCAATTTATCTTATGGAATGGGGATTAGTGATAATAAACTGGGAGATTTCGGGGTTGTTCATTTGTTCATTATCATTATTTATGTTTTGGGTAATCTGCCGTATTTGATGTTTTTTTTTATAGGATGAATTATTACAATGGACAATCAACAGTCTACAGAATGGAGAGAATCGGGTATTCCTCTAAGAACATGGTCAATTTTTATGTAGGTAGGTTTTTATCATGAAATTTTCCACTCTCCGTTTCAACTTACTGCTGCATAGATCAACCCCTTGAAAAATGTCTCTAAAAAGTTTCTAAATTTTCTGAATAACCATTTACTTTTTCATTTTCTTTATGCTCTTTAGAGATACAATCATTTGAAATTTCAATTGGAAAAACTTAGTTAAAAAATAGTTAGAAAAGTTTCATTTAAAAAAAAATATTCGCAAAAATTTTATACTCTCTTAGCTCGCATAGGTACAGATTGGTTTCATATAAAATTGCAATTAGCAAGAAAATAATTGCTCCTTGGTGTGCTTGGGAAAATTGAGTTATTCAGGCTTCAGTTAAAAACGCCAAGATAAAAAAATCATTTTGGTGCACTAATTAAGGAGGCATTTAAAACGTGTCTTCAACTCAGTCTACTACGAAATTCATTTAGTAATGGGCTCTTTCCGATAATAACTAATTCGTTTTCTATTTCAAATAATCCTGATATGCCCCATTTTTCTCTATGTTCACAACAAAATACAGCACAACATCGAATTCTAGTTCGCCAAATCTCACCCCATTCACCATCTCAAAAACAAGACCTACCATACACAATTTGGTGGCATTCAATACTAGAAAAATTAAACAACGGCAGAAATTCACTAAGACGGATAAAGAATGGTGCATCACCATTATTTTCATTAGAAATTTTTGACATGTGGCTCATTCTGAGGTTTCACGATTTTTTCACCGTCTCAGTAATCAAATGCCTTATTCAAGGTGTCTTGTTTGAATCAGAATGAACTGTAGATATTTCATTATTATATATTCTTCATTATCAAGCACCATATATAAAAATTCACCAGTGAATTTTTATAAAACATGCGTTTGCTAATTTCTGTTCAAAATTTAGATAATCCGGAACTTTTTTTCTGCTAAGTGAGTAATAAATTGATTTACCAATGTAAATATTCACGCTCTACATAATTAACCATGTAATTCAGCGGTTTCTTCAACCAACAGTAGTTTTTGCATTTCTTCACGGTCGAGCTTCATTCACAATCAGTCATTGTCGGTGTACCATGGCCGGAGGTACATATGCAGACTTCCAAATGAGTAAAATGAAAATCATAGTTAAAAATCAATACTTGTATTACGAACAATTTTGAAAACATGCATATACTCTTGCAGTACATGACATATTGTCTTGTTTTGAAGATATAATTGATGCCCTTTCTTAAAATGATATATATTAGCCTCACCCGGAGTTGAACAAATATAATCATTAACCATAAGTCCCTCATTTTAGACTATGGTCCGGAAAAAACCCAGATCTTGATTTTTGCAATTGACTGCCTCTGTCATATTTCTAAGAAAGTGATAATTGTTTAATTGTTGTTTCCATGGAGCGGAGTCTTTATAGCACTTTTCAAGCCATTGCTTCGCTTGAACGGTATTTTTTCCCATCAAGAAGCAGTGTAAAATTAAAACAAGAAATTGTTTTTGATCCATTGTTTTGAAAATAACAAAAGTAGTTCACCCTTAGCACAGTAACTCATAAACTTATGAGTAGAATGTTATGAAACTTCAACAGCTTTCTTTTGAAGTTTAGTACTAACTGGAAAAGCGGTGAATGCAATGAGACTAACGCCATCTATGTGTCAGCCCATATAGTAAGTCTGAAATCGTGATATTTGATTAGGTTTATTGAAATTGAGTCTATATCAAAATGCACAACATATGCTTTTGAATATCACACTTTGGCCTGCTTATGGATAAAGTTCTTTGAAGTGGTTAAATTGGTAAACTTTGTTTCAGGAATTGAATCAAATTTTTCAGGAGTCCCATACCCATATCATACGATACCAAAATTATTGATTGCAGAACGAAACTATTGAAGCTACCAGTTAATATTGGAATAGGAGACTTTCGATCACCACCGTTTGGATTTGATGTTTTTTTCAGAATAACTTCACTACAGAAAGCCGGCGTACATGGCTAATTGTGTCATCTCGTGGTACATTATTATCGGATCCAATGATCACTTACATCATGGTGTGGGGGGTGATCATGTGTAGAAGCTTCTGGTGATTCAAATTATGAATCAATGCCTTCTTAAGTGTATTTTCAGCTCCTGGTTCCGCTACTGACCAGCACGCGTCCTATCGTAACGCTATTTAGTTCAATGTCAGGTTGTCTAAATGTGGGAACCGAATTAAAAGTGAAAACAATACACTTTGTTTGCTACCGTAATTGTATTATTCCAGTTTCTCGAAATTAAAGCACTGTGATCAGTTCATGGGTAAAGAATTCTAGTTTCCTTCTGTGACCTTTGCGTAACATTTGACGATAATCCGACCATTATGTTGAAGTTCTAATTAGAACGAGATGTAATCTCGCTATCTTGATGACTTTGTGGATTGCAGTCGGTTTGTTCTGGAGCGTTTGAGCATGATAATTGCATTTTGTGTCATCTCGACAATTTTAGCATAAGTTACTTCGTAGGCTGTGACTTATTTGAAATTTCTGACGAGGTTATGAGTATTTTGAACCCTCAGTTGAAACGCAGCTAGAAATTATATATGGAGAAGTATCGAATCAAACAGAAAATTATTGCCATTGGTATTGTTCTGAATAGAAAACTGATAAGCCCTCAGTCATTATCTATTTTGGGGTTCAAAAATCCACACCTCACCTAAAAAAGGAACCTAGAACTATCAAATGTATTTGAGTATTTGTGAAAAATTCAAGGCATTTTGTTGAACTACTAGGGGCAATCGAAGTCGAAGAGCAGGATCAACTGATCACTTTCGACGTGAAAAGCCTCTACACCAACGTTCCTGTCGAAGAAGCACTTCAAAACATACAGAAGAAGCTATCCGAAGCTGGAGACTTGAAAGATAGAACAAACTTACCGATACAAGTAATCATGGAATTACTAGGATGTTGTGTACGAACCTGCTACTTCCAACTGATGCTTACGCAAGATGAGGGACTGCTAATGGGATCGCCACTTTCACCGGTTATAGCCAATATATATGGAGTGGTTTGAAACTCTGGCCATTGAAGAAGCCCACAAGAAGCCCCGAGCCTGGTTGAGATACGTAGACGACACCTTCATAATATGGAACCATAGAAATGCAGAACTAGATACTTTCCTGAAGCACATCAACAACGTAAGTCCTTCCATCACTTTCATAATGGAGAAGGGAGTCAACAACAAATTGCCTTTCTTAGACGTATTGGTGAAGAGGACCGACACTAAATGGGAAACATCTGTATATCGAAAACACACTCACACAGGACACTATCTGAACCAGAAATCCAACCACCATCAATCGACTAAGAGAGGAATCATCAAGACTCTACTAGACCGTGAGTTTGGGCTCTGTAATACAAAGGAAGGTCTCGAAAAGGAACTAGGCATCATCAAAAATGACCTACAACGGAATGATTACTCCAGAGTGATGGTAGAACAGGCCTTGGCTGAAAGACAGCAAGAACTCCACAAGGAAGAGAAGCCGCCACAACCAGTACTTGTACTTCCCTACATCAGAGGATTATCGAAAAGGATGAGAAGGATTGGGTCCAAGTACAACATCAGGACCTGCTTCAGATCTGGGAACACTATCCGTAGCAGTCTTACAAAAACCAGGCCACCAAACGCGGACTGCGATTCCAAGAATTGCATTTACCGGGTACCCTGCGAATGCGGAGAATTATACATCGGTGAAACTAAGAGGCCATTGAAAGTTCGCATTGCTGAGCACAAGAAACACACACACAGCGAGGAGAAACCAGCAAATCCGGAATAGATAGCATGTTTGGACTCATCAACATAACATCAAGTGGGCTCAAGCTGAAATCATCCACAAAGAGGAACACTGGTTTAGGAGAGAATTCAAAGAAGCCGCATATATATTGTCCAACAACGCATTTAGCCAAGCTAGCGTAGAGATACGCAACATATGGAAACCTCTAATCAAGCGGAACGCATGACCAACTCCCGCCAAACGGTCATCTCCCGCTAAAACCAATGAAGCGGAGAGAGGGAAGAGGAGATAGGTGAAAGCACTCGAATGACCTATAAATAGTTAGATCTCAGAGGAAGTCCAGTTATCACCCGAAGACGATTGTGGATACCAAGAATCGAAACTTCGTGAAGTAACTTGGCTTGAAATCATTCTTTATTTTTATTTGATTCCAATTTTTTGCTAATTTTCATTTTATATTAATTTCATTTCAGGGTTTTAGCTTTACATAATTGTTTTTTTCAGCTATTCATTTCAATTTAAAACTTTATTTGTACCTTCAAGGATTTTAAATCATATATCATATCAAACAATGGAAGTCCGAACTAATTAAAAACTGATTTTTCTTCACAAAATATGACTTTAGTTTAATTATAACCATTATGAATTCGAGAAAAACAATATGTTGAATGAATGGGACACAAAGGGAAGTATAGAACAAATTCTTGATTGGTGTTGATACCAAATTAATCTGAGAAGTATATGAAAAGAAAACTTCAGAGATTAATAGTATGTTATCAAGTTTTTTTTCTGATTGATTCTGCCGTTACTCGATGAAGATCCATAGTAATTTCAAAAACTACACCTCATGATTTGATCATCACAAACTTTATTTGGAAAATATATCACAACATGTTTCGCTAGCAAAGTAGCTTTATCGAGTGTTTTGATCAAGCTACTGTGTTGTTTTTTGTAAACTTTCGAAATATGTTAGGAATCACACGTTAAAAGGTAAGACATCGTTAGTCCGCACAAGTTTCGACTTCAGAGGGTTGTCGCTCGTAGGGGTGCGAACGCTAGTTAACGGAGAAACATATCGTGAACGTATATAATTTATTCAGGCCTGTCGAAATAGAAACTACAGTGGTCCTCATTTTCCGTGTATAGAAAAAAATCTCGAGTCAAAACAGAAAACTTGGCTTTTATTCCATTAAGTTTGCTTCAAATAGACAATAAATCTACTATTACGTGTTCATATTTTCCTTCACGAACATTTAATTCAGTATGCAGGCATTTCTGCGTGAAATTATTATAATAAACAATTATTTCGTAGTCAATACCTATAATTTGGTACATGTCCATTAACAAGTGATAAATAATCAAGACTAAATGGGTATGATAAATACGAAATTATGCGGCATTGCTGTCTTTCGTTTGGATATAACTTACAAAAATGGGACAAACACCTCCATAATTTCACAGCACTTGTTAATTAACTAACAGATTTTTTTGATGTATTCAAATCATAAGGTATAAATTGAGAGACGTGTGGGTGTACAAAATAAATATGAAAGCTGGCAAGTGCATGTAAAGTACATCGTTTGAGAAGTAATTATAAGTTGTTTGTTCCAGGAAGAATATTAGAATAATGTTAACGGATTTTTAAATGGCAAAAAAATAGATTATTGGAAGGAAACCGTGAGCTTTTTCTATGCACTAGATTCAGTCTAGTTTATGAAAGGTATTGTGTATTCGGAATTGTATAAAAAATTGCTACCTAAGTAATTATTATTATTAAACAATATTTTACTCGATTTGCGTCTTNTTTATGAAGATGATAGAGTCAAACAAAAATTATAGTGTGTTATCATCAGATAAATCTCATGGATCTTTGTCGAATGTTATGATTGAAGGTTCTACAATTTACTCAGCTAAATGATCTAATTTCCACATGTTGTCCCCTTCTTTCATAAAATATTCAATATATTTTCGCTATTTTTCGGAATCGACATTTTTTTATGGACTCCTCAAAGTGTATTTTAACATCCTTTATTTCAAATTTCGTGTTTCTTGGTGCAAGGAAGTCCTTTATTGGGAGCCTATACGAGTTCAATAGGATCAAGTTCGCAATGATGAGGGGACAGATGCAGATAAGATGTGCAGGTATGTGATACATTCAAGTATTTTTCATAGAAATAAGTGAAAATATCAATTCAAATTTTGGGTATTGAATTAAAAATAAGTCTGTCAATTAGAACAGTACATACTGTAAAATAATCGAAAGTAACAATAATAAAAACCAAGTACGTTTCGTCACATCTAGCACCTCCACAACAACCTGCGCATTCATAATAACATAAGAGAATAAACCATTTGTATAAATCGCAGCATCGCGGCAATAATCTCATCTCTCCGTGCGTAGAGAAACAGAATTACGGAATTAACGAGCATAATTAGATTACGTAAGATATCATATCGCACGCGCTTCGTTCCGCCCGTCGTCCGTCATTGGCCAGACGCGGTCACGTGCCCTATAGATTGGCCGATAATTTATGCCTGTTTCGCGCAATCACCGATCCGCGATCTTCTATTCCATAATTTATAATCTTTTTATTCCTCCGTGGCGTTTTAGAAGGAGAGTCCCATCATGGCTGTTTGAAAATCTAATTGTTATGGTAATTGGCAGTGTGGAAATGGAAGTGCAGATGGGTTGGGAAGGACGAGAACTGGGATGTAGAGTGCTGGAGAATATGGCTACGGTTCTTCATTGGTTCGTTTCAGAATCTTTCAGTATTTCAATTCACTTAAATTATACTTTGACCTACCTTTTTTTCTTTCCGGAAGCCGTCTGTTTTCTCCATTTCTAGTTTGTTTAGGATAAAGACTAGTTCATATGTGACGAGCTGTCTCTATCTCTTTGTTACATTGCTTGCAGTTTCTTCAGTTGCTGCGGCATTTCCAGACCACTTTCGATGACACTTTTGGGTTAATTCGTCAGTACCTCGAGTGTCTGTCAAAATATCGATTCGCTCATATTGTTGATCAATAGAATTGACGCCTGTGACAAACTGTCGCGTAATAACAGTACTCAACAAAAGTCGCATAGGTCACTGACGATCTACAAATCCTTACATGATCTGTACTGTCCGAACGAGTAACTGAAATGAAGATTTTTTATCCGCACAGAATACTATAGCTTCCGTCCCATGTTTCCAGGATAACTGTTCGTTATTCACTCTCTACGGTCTAAGACTTCAACCGTGTAGTTTGTGTCGAACATGAATTTAAGTGTCATGTGGTACTACAAAAAAACAATTTCCTCCTTTCACCGAAAAAGTGGGAGATTGTATCCTGTCTAGTTGACAGGTTTCCATAAAAAATCTAATCTACGTCTAATCTATTCACCGGTTTCAATAAATAATTATCATCAAGCTACATTTCAACTAGCCTATTGTAATGAGTAAGTTACCATCTCAAAGGAGTATTTTCAACAATATTTTCTTCAAAGCGATAGATGATGAGAAAATTTAAGGTGTTATGTTGGCAACAATGGTTGTCACGGGTGGGTTTTACGACGACAAATGTCAGAGATAAGGAAACGAATCTGGATCAGCATATTCAGCGTGTTAACTGTAACCTTGAATTCTATAACAGTACGGCCGTTTATTTTGTTTTCTTTTTGTAGGCTTATTCAGAATCCGAACTGTTCCTGACAAATTTTGTTTCCTTATACAGAAAATCTTTTTTATTTTAGCACCGAACTTTTCGGGAAAATTCGGGAGTTTACTCTATTTATATTTTAATAGATTTTTACAAACTTTCAAGTATTTTATGTTGAAAAAACAAGTCAATAAATCGCTTTCGATGGTGTTTCTGAAAAATATTACGAAATTTTACTGTAGCTAAGGAACAGGAAAATTTATATACTAATCAGTGCCTACATTAAATTTATATCCAATCCATTATCACCAACCCAATCAATATGATGGAGTTTTACGCACTCAGATAATTTCGAATAATTACACTTATAATTACAATCTCGATAATTATTCTCTGATCTCTAACGGTTTGCGCAACCCGAATTCCAAACGCGTTTTTACTGCACACAATAAAAATTAGCCATCAAAGATACCACAGGTGTTACTCTCGAGTGCAAGAAGTGAAATCTCTCTACTTGGGGCCAAACAATAATTAAAAATATACAAACAATCGCCTAGCAATGGCGTGTGATGAAGATGTCACAAAAGAAATTTGAACAACTCCCTGCTGTTACGCGAGGAGAGTGCGTTCTTTTGTTGGTACTTATTGGGAGTATTGTGTAATGTTTTTATTGTTATGGAATGATAGAGGTATGTCTGGAAGGCATATGGAGATAGAATAGAAGAAATTATTGGTAGAGAGCTCTTTAGTAACTATTGTTGTCATATTAGTGCACTGTTTTTTAGATTATTCAGTAACTCATTCATCAGTCCACAAAATAATTTAACAAATTGAGAAAAAACTCAAGGAAATTCAACTATTTGAAAAATCTCTTGATTGATTGATTTACACATGCACAGTTGAAATATTTGTGAACCATTCTCAGTCCATATGATATCCTCATAATTCCTTAGCTCCATATTCCTTGAACTTTCTTCTACGTTGAGAATTCATCAATTCTAAGGTCTGGAAAGTTAGTGGCTTAGGAGTAAATTTTGGCTGTGTTTTCAATGATCACTCGTTGAGATATTTGTGTCTGTATCTGGTTTTCACCCTAGAAACAAGAAACATCGATAAGGCAAGATAATATTCGATCAAAAGGAACTTGTCAGGTGGGATCCCTTTTTCTGTCAGAGCAGAGGAGAATATCTACCATTGTGTCTATCACAGCCACAGCTGTCTAATTCTAGAACGAAACTGGAATATAATGCGTCTACATAGAGCAACTTTGTTCACAAGAAACTTCTTCAGTTTACTTAGTAGACCGACCAGGATAATAATAATAATCAAAGTAGCGTACAATCCACTTACAGAACAACATTAGAATAACAAATGTTTGAGGAAAAGAAAAATAATTCTATTACAAGTGCAGTGGAAAAAAACAAGTGAAATATTACAGATTTCGCATTACGTGCCTAACTTGTTCCAAGCTATCTCGCAGAATTAAGTGTTTTGTGCACAGTTTATAAATTGACATACTCATTCAAATGTTAATATAGATAATAGTAATTGAGGAAGAAGAAATAGCCGATGAAAAATGAAAGTTTGGCTCATTGAAGGTATCTTCAAACTTCCTTTGCGATGAGCTCAATAATCGCAATCAAAATATCCCGCGGACATGGAGGATATCGTGCGAGCAGAAAGAAATATGATTTAATAACGAGTGCAGGTAAAAATCGAAAGGGGATAGAGCAGTACGCGTGGGCAGTACATAAAACTAACCTATAATTATACGTATAAGTGTTTTAATTGTGGACGAATAGAGGTACGTGTCGTTCTAGTGGTCCAGTCGTACCAAACACCCTAACACGAGCGAACCGTACCGGTGCCACGCTTGGTCCAGCGTTCCTCTGGCTATGGTAATGTGAGAGAGGCCAAAAGGTCAGCAAGAGTCAAGAGCCGCGTATACCACGCTAGCTAGGCGAAGAGTACATATAGTGCGAGCAGGTACATTAGTACGATCGTATTAGACGTTTTGGGTTGTTGTCTGAGGGGGGTTGTGGTTTCCATTAAGTTATTTCGGTCTTAGATCTGGGTAATATTCTGGCTGACATTTCTTGAATCTGTCTTCAGTTTTTGATTGAATCAATGATGTTTTCCACCTCTGATTAGATTTTTTGTTCGTACGCAATTTCCTATAGCCTCAGCTACTCGTTCTTGAAATGAATATTGGTTACACACTTCACAAGATGGATTCTTATTCCATCTGTCGTTGCTGCTTTCGCTTGCATAAATCTCAATACGTCGTTCACACTATCATTGCTTAGTCCACTGATAAACTTGTTTTTCAATTTACTGTTCGAAGGCATTTTCATATTTTATATAATGTAACACGACGGTTGATTTACTATTTTGTTCTATTATTTATACTTCAAAACTGAGTGAAAAAGAAAAACGCCAACAATTCTATATATCACATCTAATTTTGATGTATTGTCGAAACTCTCAACGAATTTTCTCCTCAACTGCGTATTTTTTCGAAAAGGATGTTGTCTGTGTTTGTGAAGAAATAAGGTGTATTGAAAAATCGGAGGGGTCTTTACCGCTGGTATATTATTAGTGTACTATCAAAACTGTCACTTATTTCGCTTACTCCATTATTCATCTCCACAAGGGCATTGCTGTCTCTAGACGCTATATTCCTTGACCTCACATCTCCTTTTCGCATAAGCCACATCGTTCCCGGTCTACTACAGTTTATCACTCTTATCAAGGAAGTACCTGTCGCTGTCTACCGGCCCTGCGAATTTGCCTGGCGATGACACTTGATCCCATTCAATGAATGTCGCATTCCTGGTATTTTTGCGCGATTGTGGGTAGCAGGATTGCTTGTAAATGATGTCGTTTGGACGAGTTCGAGATTATAATAATTGTCCTGCGCAGCTCGCTAGGATCTGATTAGGAGTGAATTATTTCTAGTCCGACGTTGGACATCTATGAACGGCGATTTTACGATGACGTCTTTGGATTCTGCGTAGGTCGCACTCCTGTTTTACTGTAATTAATGAATACCTTTGTATTTATTCAATTGTATCGACACGATTTTGAAATCGTTATCATTTAGGTTGCTTCGTAGTAAAACTAGGAAGTTATTTGCCTTGAACTAAAATTAATATTATCATTTATTTTGAAAAAAAATCATCAATAAAACGTATTGAAGGTTATGAACTAGGTCAAACGGTTGTAATGCCAGCCCTTCAAAAATTCCAGATTGTAATGAGGTAATTTCTCTAGTATAATAGGTTTGAATCTTTTGAAGAACCTTAGATATTGAGCAACTAGCCTCCAAAGAAATTGTAGAATCCTAAAAGGGACAACAAAAGTGTTTCTGATTCTGATGCAAAAAAGCTTTTTTGATTCCCTCCTTCCAACAACCTATTGGCGTGACGCGTTCTTTAATTTAACAAACCAATGGTGGTTACATTTCCAGACAGATAAATACTCTGTTCAAGTGTGCCAGAACATTCTCAAAGTTATTTTCACATCTGGATTAAGATATTGAACCTCCAGATGCGTTTTTTTGTTCCTGAATCCGTCAAATCATAAAATAATTTTCTCTCACACGATATCCTTAAAGTCTTTCATCAATGCGTGCAGGTATTCCTAGGAGTTTGCATTGTTTGCGAGATTTCAACTAGTTAGTAGGGGCGGATCGGAACAAGAGTCGTGACGGATGGAGCAATTAACTTTATAGTGAAATTGAATTATTATTTTATAGATTTTATGGCCTATTCACTTTTGTGAAACAATTATTCGGTCTGATTTGGTGCGTGAGAGAAGATTACCCCAGATAAATCATCTAATTGTGTTTTCCTTAGGCGGTTACTTCTATTAGAGACCGTATATATGGGTGAGAGTTTATAGGACTTGACGTACAGGGTGACGTACAGTTCTGACAAGTTACGTCCATAACATGACCTGTGTTGAACGATCAATATTTAGTAATAACAAGATTGTTCAATTCATAGACCAATTGATAACATGTTCAACTACCATTTTTGTGGAAGTTTGAAACGTAAGTATGAGAAAGGGTTGCCTGACAAGATGATCTTATTTGGACGGAAAAAAAAACGTCTTTCTTTAGATTATAAGACGTCTATGAATCTGAAGACCAAATATACTATTGACATTCAATTATATTCTTGAGCTTGAAATAGATTAACGTCAATAGGAAGTTTATACCTACCATAAATAACGGTCTAGCACATAGAAGAATACATGAATGAGTAGATGGACAAATTAACAAGACAAAGAATAAAATGGAGTACAAAATTCTGTAAAACATGACACTTGTACTCCCCAGACAAATTTTTGTTACATTCAACACTATAAGAGTACTGGTCATGATAGCCACAACCTGACAGCTGGGACCGAAAAGAGAAGAAGTAGATTAACGGAAATAACGAAAACTGAATTCAAATTAATACCGTTAGAATGTCGGGAAATCAGAGAAATTACATGATATATTGATTAAGTATTGCTGAAGACTCCTCAGTGGAATCCCAGTTCTGTGAAAATGACAATTTAAATATTCGTGGACATGAATGAAAAGGTGCTTTCCGTTTAGACTCTCATGTGAACAATATAAAGTTAGAGACGCTAAAAACACGTGTTACATCACCTTTCACAAATCATTCTACGTAGAACGCAAGGTCTAACATGCATGTTAACAAACCACCCCAAGTTTATCATCTCAGCAAATCACAGGTACATTCCTCATAATATTCAGGAGATATAAAAAACAGTGAACCCCCCCCTCCCGCGAGTTCCTAACTCAAAGCCTACAACAAAGTGATTCCCAAAGTGATTTTTTTCACATCCATACTACCAAATGGTAGGCCAGAAGCATACTGACACTTCAAGATGGAAAGCTCCATATCAACAAAGTGCAAAGATTCATTGCTCGAAACAGTTTCATAGGCCAGTCGTCTACTCAAAATTACCAGCGAAAGCTCCATATTGAAGCAAACTCTCACGATGATCATCCAAACATTGTGATAGGCCTTCCATACATCAAAAAGTCAGTACTGAAAGCTCCATGTCAAATACACGCAGCGGTCAATCAACAATTAACAACCACTTATTCGCTGAGAAAAATGTGCTTCTCCTCAATGTACTACAAGCAAGAAATGAATGTCTTAGGTGAGTATTCTAATTGAATCTGAAGGTAGTCAAGTTTAAACTCACTACTAATTCTTTTACAGCAATCTGAACACTAAGACTTGAGAATCACCAACAATTGTGCTGAATGATCTAAACACTGGCAAGGGTGTACGGTATAAGTGCAACTGAGGTAAGTGTTTGCTTTGTAAATACACAAACAGTGGTGTTACTGTTATTGGTATAGAAAGATGTTATATTCCCCCTACTATCTGGGGACATGCCAAGTCCAGGTTGCTTCACACAGACAACCAGATTTTGCCCCAAACCTCTACTAATGTTGTGCTGATTCTATCAATCTTCTCACAACCAATCATGGTGTGTTTGTTGGACACCAACATCTATTTTTGTGAAAAACGATATTCTTCCTTTCTCAAAACCTGAATTCTACTACGTACATTATCTACAGGTACCTGTCACCGAATGACACAAACTTGTAAGTTATCAGTTCCAAGATTTCTACAAAATATATACAAAGTTTCTTAATAATCCATGTTCTTTGATATCTAATGCCCTTGATACTCAAAATATTCAAATCAGTAGGGCTGGTGGTCACTGTATATTAATAATAGAAATATACTATTTTTTCAATAATATTTCGCTTGAAGATGATCTCTTGGTGATCGAAACACGTGTCGAGGTGTTGAAATAATGGTTTGGTGTTGGGAAAAAGCTCCAGTATTCAAAACTACACCAAGGGTTCCAAAGAGTGCATCACAAGTAATTTTTGACGTTAAAAAAAGTCAAACTCAAAATGAATATGGTTTGTGATCAAATTTCAATTACTTTTTCAAAATATATTTCCTATAATCAAGCACATTTCTAATGTGACAGTCAAAATAATATTTCTAAAAACATTAAGACTACACTATCCATAAGAATTGAGCAATTTGCACAAATACAATTTTTATTCTAGACACTTTTCCCAAACAGCTGAGCTTCAGCAGTAGTAATAAATAGTACACACAATAGTAGTAATTACCTCATTTAGTTGGATAATGGTCAAAGAGATAACAGGTAGAATTTGAAAAACATTTACAATCTCATCTCTTGGAGAGCAGGTAAATTTTAACTATGATAATCCTTGGCATTATTAAAAATTTTAACAATGGTGAGTGGTTAACCTCTAGTCCTTCAAAAGGGAATTTGAATGTCTGCCCTTATTTATTTCCAGAGACTCCAGCAGGTTCAATTTATGTTTTTTATCTTCTGGATGAAGTATGTTATTGTTAATGCTATGAGTGTTCTTCAAAAGGTGGGATTGGTCTTTAGATCAACACTGCTTCAGTTTGTATATATATAAAGTGCGAAGCACTTGTTTCACTTGAATTAACAGATAAATAGAAAAAAATATAAAAATTAACAAATGTGACAGTTTGAGAATATATAACTAGGTATATAACTCTAAAATAATAGATGAAGTCACTTAAAATGCCGTGAAAGATATTATAAGCGTAAGCTCTATGAGTTTCACATTTTGTAGCATGCAGAAGGATGAGTCGTTTAGAGTTTCGTGTATTGAATTCATCGTTGAGAATCTCAGCTTTATGTTTTTGGAAGTGGTACCTCATATCCTCGCAAAGAATAATTGCCTGATGGTATTTCTTTATGAAGGCTATTAGAATTGTATCTAAGGTTTTTCTGTAGAATCAATTTCAAGAACCGTCTCTGTATTACCTCCAATCGATTACAATGGGTTTTGAGGGCACCACCCCAAGCTATAATACCGCAGTGGGTATGACTTCCTACGATGGTAAAGTTGGTGTTTAGATATTTGAATTCGTATAGAAGGGTTTGGAGTTTTCTAGTCACATATCTCATATGATAATCTGTTGAAAAATCTGTTTCTCCATTAACAAGCTGTCGCACCTCTACGAACGACAACCCTCAGAAGTTGAGAAACTTGTGCGAGCTAAGGACTAACGAGGTCTTACCTTTTAACGTGTGATTCCACCATTCCAAATATCATTCACAGTGTGTGCTTAGATATATTCCTAGGTATTCTGTTACAGTTACAGGGTTTGATTTCAATATTTTTCCATCTATATTTAATTCTTATTGGTGACAAGGAGGGACGCCAGATTTGTTGTAACCGAACGAAAGAACGTGGGTTTTCTCAAAGTTGACTGCTGATAGTTTGTTATCAAACCAATCTATACTAATATAAATGTAGATGTGTAGATGTGGAGAGAATTAAATGGGCTGTAAACTAATTCCAACCCTATAAGTCGCCGGAACCTGATGGCATATACCCAGTAATGCTTCAAAAGGGACCGGAAGTACTTTTCAAAAAATTGTGTATAATTCTCAGGGCAAGCTTAGCACTGGGACACATACCAAAAACTTGGAGACTGATCAGGGCCAGGTTAATTCCGAAACATGGGAAAATCAGACATGCGAAGGCTTTGAGACCAATTAGTCACATGTCATTTGCGTTGAAAACGCTAGAAAAACTACTTGACAGGCATATCAGGGACTTATCACTGGCTATCAGACCATTATATTGAGACGAGTATGTATACAGGTCAGGTATGTCAACAGAAACGGCTCTATGTCGGGTAATAGATAAAGTAGAACGCTTACAAAAACAAGGAAGTACTTTTGGCTGCTTTCTTGGAAATTGAGGGTGCATTTGATAATACGTCGTTAGAATGAATTATCCAGGTCGTGCATTTGTATTTCTATCTTTTGGTAACCAATTGTTGCCCATCCTTACACTTGGCTGCACCATACTGATGATGGGCCAAAAGCCCGAAACACATGTCTATGGTGTATATATATGTAAAAGTTTGTGAGGAGGGATGTTACATATGTATGTTTGCCTTAACTTCTGAACGGATATAGATGAAACTTCACATAAATATAGCTTTCACATCAGAAAAACATATATGCTATGATTTACAAAGGTTTTGTGTGATTTTGGTCATAATATAACGATATGTATTAAGTCAGAAAAATTCTTGGAGTTTCATGAAGATAATGTATTATAAGATTGTTTATCCTAAATGGTTCTAAAAAGGATTCCGCGATAGCATGTACCTACCTCTAATGTGGTAGCCACTATATGCAAAATACTGAGCCACGAATACAAATAAATTGGATACTTTTTTACAATGTACATTTCAGATTATCTGTCAAATTCTTATAAAAATTGATTTAATTGTCGTTTTAAGTATTTAATATAGATACACTTTGTCTTTGACACTAAGTAAAAGATTAACTTGACGCAACACAGTAAGCCTTTACGTGTCGCGTCTACTGTAAGACGACGAGGAACGATGCGCCGGGATAGAGGGGCGGTCTAAGCAATGAAGCGCCATCGCTGACCCGAACGCGGGCAGACGCTTGAGGACAGACATCATTGACGACAGTCGTCTTTGAAGGTTGTGTTAGTTTTGCGAATTTCTTTGTAGGTAACATAATTTGATTCTCGAAGCTAATCATTACTCAGTGCAGTTGGCATATTTATATTGGTTACTGTATTTTTGAAATAAGAAAATAAATTACTAGCTGTTGCCCGTTCTTATGTAAACGTACAGCTACCGAAACTAGAATTTTGAAATATGCAGGTAGGTTCTTTGTATACATAAGCATCAAGAAAGGGAATCAGGAATTTTCAGCCAGGGGATAGGCGTTCAAAGATTGTATTGAATTTCGTCAGTTTTGAAGTTGTAAACCCGAAGTTTTGGGTTAATAACAAAGGACCCAGAACTGTGCCTTGCGGTATTCCATACTCAATGATTTTTAAGGTACTTGGGTCTCTCACCAATTTTCACTTTTCATGTCATTTTACTCAAATATCTCTCCATGAGCTTATGACAGTTTCCTCTCGCTCTTATTTTTTTCAAGTGTCTTCAAGAATAGCTTATGGCTGGCAAGTGCCAAATGCTTCTTTAAAATTAAGGAATAAGCATAGACATGGAATTCCTATTCCAGAGCTTGATGTATTTTCAATAAGAGGTCAACCATTCACCATTGTTACACCTTTCTTTATAGTGCCAAGACAAATCATACTCAAAATTTACCTGCTTTTCAAGTATTGAAGTTGTAATGGGTTTTCAAATTTTACCTGCTATCTCATAGACCATTAACCAATTAAATATGGTAACTACTATTGTTGAATATAAGAATTATCCATGATGATAATTAAACAATTTCTATGTGGAAATAAAAAATGTATTCAAATTCGTTTCTTTATATGGGGATCTCGTAAACGATAAGAGATAGAGTGTCGGTTAAATTATGACAAAGTTGCGTATTTTAGAGACCTATTCAATGATGGAAAGAAGTCGAATATAGCTCTTTCGGTTCTGGGAGATATACAGGAAAAACCAAAAAAATCCCAAATTATTTTTTTGTCTATATCTTCTCTATTCACAGACATATTGAAAATCTGTCCACATTTTGCTATTGGCACTTGATGTGGGCTATCAGAATATGTCCATGAATCTTTCATACAGGGTGTCATCTGACTTGGGCCACCCCCATCTTTGAATTTTTAAATACAGACCTGTATTTTTTGTTGTAGTTTTTGTATCGTCGACGTTCACTTCATACTGAGAAATTGAATTCAATTAAATATTTCTGGTACGATCCAAAAACTACAACAAAAAATACAGGTCCGTATTTAAAAATTCAAAGATGGGGGTGGCCCAAGTTGGATGACACTCTATATAAAAAATTCATGGATATATTCTGATAGCCCACATCAAGTGCCAATAGCAAAAGGTTGACAGATTTTCAATAGGTCTGCGAATAAAGAAGATATAGGCAAAACAATAATTTAGGATTTTTTCTGTATATCTCCAGAACCAAAAGAGCTATATTCGATATTTTTACATCAATAGGTCTCTAAAATACACAACTTTGCCACAATTTAACCGACACTTTATCTCTTATCGTTTACGAGATCCTCATGTACAGAAACGAATTTGATTAGCCCTGAATAATTAAGAAGTAAAACAAAATACAGGGTTGTAATAGGTTAACAGACAGTTCATGAAATCACAACGAACTCGATCTGATGCAATCCATAAAAGGGTTTCAATTCTGAAACGTGCCTTGGCACCCTTTTTTTATAATTCATACATTACTTCAGATAGGACTTTTTTGACTTTGCATAAAAAACGCAGAGCTAACTTGGCTGCATAATTATTTGAAGCATCAGAAAGTGCAAAGTTTTGCTTCCAGGCTTCATCACCTGCTTGAAAAATATACTTACCCTTTTTCAAATTATGGTAATTAGGTAGCATTTCTCTGATATGAGGCTGTCAACTTGTACCTTTTTATAAACAAATGGTAGTTTCTCTAATTCCTCAGTATTCCTTTTTTCTAGCGTCGCATTGTTGTCTAATTATTTCTCTTTAGAACTTTCATTGGGTTGATAATGACTTTATTTACCCTTAAATAAATTTTAAGGGTAAATAAATGACTTTATTTACCCTTAAAAGCAGTTGCATTATCTAATAATCAAACTTGTGGAGTACGAAGTGATTGATGGAGCTGTTCATAACAACAAACATTGAATTGGAAAATTAACATTTTTCGATTTTTTTATATGCATCAGTGCTGAGCTGTAAATGTCAGTTGCTCAATACAAATATTTCGTTTTCTATTGCAAATACGTCAAAAGTGATACAGGACGATTTAATGAAAAATTTTAATCCCCACATTTCATGTTTCAACTTTTTTACCATATCTTTTCACGTTTTTGAGATATTTTTAAAAAAGTGATTTTTATGTTAGATTTCAATTATGAAATACAACATTTCCCAACTGTAAATCCTTCAAATGTATGCTATAATCGACATATATTGAAAAATGGAGGCTTCCTCTTTGTTTAGTAATTTGAAACCTCGTTTTATTGGACTAATTTCCATTCTGTTGGAGTTGTTTTCGCAGCAATTTTTCTGGGAGTCTGCTTATGAATGCAATCATCTTTAATCATCCACTGAGGATATTTTTAAGGATTTTCAACAATGCTATTTTCATTTTTAGGTACCACGGCTCAAGATTACTTCGGGAAATGCTTCTTGTGAAAGTGCTGCTCAAGATGAGGCATCAGGAGCGTTGTGGAGTTTTCTGACAGTTTTGAGAGGTATTTAAAACTTGCATGATCATAAAAACTTTATACTGAACCACTTCTACACATGATACAAATTATTGCAATGCCAAGCATTGCAATAATTTCTCTCAACTCTATTCAGTCTTCGATTTGCACTTTTTGCATACACTATTACTTTTTCTTGCCCAAATCTGTACCGCTTGCGACACACCGAACACAAAAATCTAAAGAAAAATCAGGTGCTGCTAGAATTGGCGTTGAAACTAATTTTCCTCCAGTTTTAATGAAGGCTCCCTCAGCTCTTTCATTATAAGTGAGTTCCTGACATTCATGCATTCCTTTCGGTAAATCAGTTAGTGGTAGTGAGGTACCAAAATGAGGAAAAACAGCGCCTATACCAGGAGCACTCGCTTTACTTGAGTTGCTGTCTTTGGTGGATTATGATCTACCGTTGCTTTTATTTTTTCAGGTGAAGCTCCTAAACCTCTCTGATCAACTACAAAACCCAAGTGTTGAAGATTTTCCCTAAAGAAGTTAAATTTACTGTTATATTGACATCTTTTAAATTATTGTACAACCCTTGATTTGTTCCGTGAAAGTTGAACAACACAAGACAATGTTTTCTGAACATATAAATATTGAAGAGTTACAAGGACTTGAAGAGGGTTCTGCAACCCCCAATTGAAACATTTCATAACATTTTTTATTTAGATTTTCCAACATGTAAGAAGAAAGTCTATGAGGTCTCTTTTTGAGAAGAGGATGATGCTCCCCTGTATCAATGTCAGCTACAATTTTGTCTGTGAAACCTAACCTTTTTTCAGAAGAGATCTCAACTGATCACGTTTCTCATTTCTGCTCTTTGTACCTCTGTAAGATTCCTGCAAAGACCTACATTCGAGTCAGTTTTCTGGAGTTTCTGATGGAATATTTATGTTTTGCTCAAGTACACCATCAACTTGCCAACAAGATTCACTGAAATTTATTGTAATTTTGAATACTTCACAAAAGTCATCACCCATATAATTAGTCCACATCTTATTTTGCAAGTATTTCCTATACAGACAGAAACATCACAAACTCCAAAAACCATCTGTCCCCCACCATCAACTGTATTCACAACTTTTTTCATCAAGTATGATCTAGGGCCCCCTCTACAGCCCTCTAGAGCCGTAGGGGACTGTGTGGCATGGTTAGTTGTTAGAAACGCAAGTTTCTAAATGCACAAAATGGATGTTCCATTTACCGTAATTGGGGTAATCTAATGTTCTCCCCAATTCGTTAGCAGGAGCTCTAATGATTCTGGGAACCTGGAACTAGTAGGCCGAGCCTTCGAAGGTATTCGGTTTATGTCCCGTGTTGGTCCAATGATTTTACTGGACCCTACAGAACATATTTCAGTGTATCCTTTCCGAAGCTCTGCTCTATCAAAGAATTAAGATGGTCATAACTAGCCTCTTTTTTCACTAAACATTTGTGATTTAAATGTATCATTCACTGACTAAACACATTATTTTGCATTAGTGATAGTTCTTTTATTTAAATAAGTTAAGATGACTCGTGCAGGAATCTGGTTATCGTTTGCGGTGTTTGGTACCAGGCAGGAACGTAGGCCCCACAATTTAAACATTTTCTTTGTTCAAGGGAGGAGGCGCCTACCGTGCCCTCTGGCTGGATCCGCCACTGTCTAAACGTTGAACTTGATTCCGTACAAAGGTCATTTTGTTTTCCAAATATATTTCTGTGATAATGATTCCACCTTAGACCTTTCCTAACAAAGGCTTCCTGACGGTCTGAACCAAGAGTTTTCATTACTCGTTTTTGTGATGCAATTTTTCAAAGTTTAATGAAAATTCGGTTTTCTACAATTTTCACAATATACTTTTTACATTCTCTCTACTTCCGGGTCTTATGACCTACGTTTCCACAATTGAAAGACCTAACAGGAGGTTTTTAAGACACACAAGTTGAGCCTGAGATGATTGACTGTCTGATTTTGAAGATTCATTAAATGATTTTGAAAATTCAAAAAGTTTTCTATTATTTCCCTGATTTTTGTTGTTACTGTCAAATGATGATTCTACGTAAGCAAGACAATTCATAGACTTGAGTGGTGAATATTTCTGCCTAATCTGTGAAGCCTCAACAAACTTTTCACAAAGATTGATGAGTTCCAGACTGTTACTGATTTCTTGCAAATTCAAGGGTCAATGTAGCTCTGTTGAAAAAATAGAGAGAATTTTAATTTTTCTCAGAAAATATTTATTTATTCATCAATTTCTCTTTCGTTCCCTTCGAAGTAATCCCCCTCAGATATAATACGCTTGTGTCAGCGTTTTTTCTAATTTTCAAAGCAGATCTGATGTGCATTTTTTGGTATGTCCTTGAGCTCTCAGCGATTCAGTTTTGATCTCCTCAATCGTCGCAAAACACCGTCCTTTCATGGGTCTCTTCGATCTTGGGAACAAAAAAAAGTAGCAGAGGACCAAATCTGGTGAATACGGTGGCCGAGGCATGATTACGGAGTGGTTGTTGACCAAAGAGTTGCGAAAAAGCAATCACGAGTAAGCAGGTGCTTCATAGTTATGCAAAGGCTATTAATAGTTTTTCACAATACCGTATTTCTTTTCAGTAGCGGCCTATAACTTCAATATAACACTTCTTTTTGATCATACGACCATGTGGCACGGTAATCCAAGAAAACAGTGCGCAAATCCTTGACTTTTAATCGAACTTGCCGTGCTTTTTCGGTCTTGGCCCCCTAGGCTCTTCCTTTGGGACAATTGGACTTTGGTTTCGATGTCATAACCATATATCCGTGATTCATCACCAGGTATGACCGTTTTAAGCAAATCTGGATCTCCATTGACCTCATCCAATAATTCATGTGAAAAACAGTTCTGAATGATACAAAATTTCAATTGTGATATTTCGATTGATGACAGAAACATCTGCAAACTTGTTTGGTGAGGGAGTCGCCCACAAATCTGTTACAGTTCTTGAAATGTTGTATTTCTGTACATTTCATAGATACAATCACGTCCGCCGATTGATACTGACTGACACCAGCGTTTCCTAATCTGGAGACTGTTCTCCGGGCATGCGCCTTTGGCTCTAAATCAGTGGCGTAGCAGCCACATACATTACAATTCCTTTCCCCTTGACTAGAAACTTGGGTTTTACATTTACTGTGTAATCTTTCTGACCTACGTTCCGGAGCTTCAGTAACTAACGTGTTACTGTGACCTATCTTAACATTATGTTAAAAGAACTTCTCAAATTCACTATCTAAAATTTTCTTACTTGTTACATTACCTAAACCATTGCAGTTAGGACTGTCAATATTTTCTGGACTTTGCTGACGTTCAGAGGCTCCATTCTGTGATGGTTCCTCTATTTCAATAATTTCTTGTGGCACCCTTCCGATTCGGATCTTGCTACCACCATTGTCCAGTGTCTTACTAACATTACGGTTTTGGCCCTGTAACTCACGATTATCGATCTTTTTAAATTTTTCAAACAAGTTACCTGCCTGTTCTCCGTCGGCTTCCCCTGTCACATGCCTCTCTCTCTCTCTGCGCTTTTCGGATTTGGTTTATATGCCTCCTCCATAGCATCTCCTCAAGTGTTTTGCACAGGTACAGTCTTCTACCTATCCTCGTTTCTATTCGAGCTGCTATCCAGGTTCTCGAGCTTGTTTTCCGATAGTCCCTCACCCAAACTTCTTCTCCAGGGGCTAACTCTCTTCTGTGTCCTCCCCTTGACATAATCTGTCTTTTCTGCACCTTCCTCAAGGTTTCCTGTACCTCCTCCTGTACTGATGGTGTGATGTTTGCGACCTGGCTTATCCTAGTTCTAACCTTACATCCAAACATCATTTTAGTTGGTGACTTCCGGGTAGTACAATGTTCTGCATTGCGATAAGTTATCAAAAATCGAGAAATCAGCACCTCTGTAGGACTATCCTTATTTCTCAGGTCGTTCAGCAGACATTTCAATTTAGCTTTGAACGTTTTTACTGTGTTTTCTGCCGCTCCATTACTTTCTGGGTGGAATGGCGATGACGTTAAATGTCTAACTCCATTTCGTTGAAAGAATATCTTCAATTGTTGTGACAAAAACGATCTTCCGTTGTCTGAGACGACAGTTTTCGAATCTTGCGAAGACCTCCCTCAATCTTCGTTTCATTTTTATACTCGTTGTAGTTGGCATTTGAAATATTTCTGGTCATTTGGTATAAGCATCTGTTATAACAAAAAAATTCACTTGCCTCATTGGTCTCAAAAAGTTCATGTGTATTCTTTCCCAGGGTCCTGTTGTAATTGGTCATGGCGACAACTCTGCTCTTGGTGCATTACTTGCATGTACGTGACACGCTTGGCAGGTTATCACCTTTTCTCAAATGTCAGAATCCAAATTTGGCCACCATACGTACGATAATGCTAAACTCTTAGCCTTCACAATGCCCAGATGTCCTTCGTGAAGCTCTTCTAACATCCGTGTTCGTAGTTTCCTTGGAATGATGACCCGATGTCCCCATAACAAACATCTACTGTCTTCCTCCACTTCCTGTTTTTATCTTTCGTAAAGTTGGAGCCCTTCTTCTACCTTCCGAGGCCAAACTTCCTTCCAATATCTCAAAATGGTCTGGAGTTCTTCGTCTTTTTCCGTATACTCCGCCACTGTATCATTGTCTAATTGCCATTCTTCCGTAGTTGCGACAAAACTCAGATAGCCATTATAGCTCCACCCTCCTATCTTCGGGGTAACCTTGATAAGCAATCTATCATTACTTTCTGTTTTCCTTTGATATGTTCGATCTTATAATCAAATGACGCTACGTAGATTGCCCCTCGCTGCAACAGGTCCTTACTTCGCTCTGGTATTCCTTTATTTTCTCCAAACAGAGCTACTAACGATTTCTGGTCTGTTCGAATTGTCACTTTTCTTCCTCGGATGTAATGTTCAAACTTCGTCAACCCAAATACTATTGCTAAAGCTTCCTGAAATATTACTGAGTATTTCCTTTCTGCTGGCATGTAAGTGCGAGAAACGCTTGCTATAGGCTTCTCTTGTCCTTGATCATCTCTATGATAGAGAACGCTCGAAATTCCTGTTCCTGACGCATCGCTGGCCACTTTGATAGATCGAAGTGGGTAAACGTGATGCCCTCAGCCATGATCTTCTTAATCGTTTGAAGTGCCTTTTCACATTCTTGATTCCAATGAAATTTTACATTAGCTAGCAATAACGTATAAATAGAACTCACGATACCTGATGGATCTGGTACAAATTTTGCATAGTAGTTCACTAATCCAGCAAAACTCCTTACTTCCGGCACGTTCCCTGGTCGGGGTGCTTCCGTTGTTGCTTTCACTTTTGTCTCTGTCTTCCTCAGCCCCTCCGCTGAGATGCGATGTCCTAAGTATTCTATACCTTCCTTGAAGAATTGACATTTCTCTTTACACAGGGTTAGACCTACCTTTTGGTAGGTGCTCAACGTCATCCATTTCTGGGCGTTTTCATCTAACTCAAACTGTAACATTGCGAAATTGTGAAATGTTACTTCTATTCGAGGTAGAGGGTGTTTTACTTCTTCTAACCATTTATTTATTGTCGTCTTGTAGTCTCTCACCGTGGATGAAGTAGAAATCGCACGGGAGGAGCGCCGTGTTGGGTATTGCAGGATCTACCGTTTTCGCGTTGTTTTGCTTTTCGAAAGTTGAAATCTACTGACGACTCAGTTTTCTTTCCGAAATATTCATTAAATAGCCATAATTAGTTGATTTGGAGCCTGCCGCAACTAGTTGCATTGCTTTCGTTACTGTTGCCGTTTCGCGGTGATTCACTCCGAACTAAATCGCGATCGGCAAAACTCACGAAAGAAAAGACCCATTAGCCTTATTCGCTCAACATTTCCCAACATAGATGTGCCTTGCTCGGAATCGTGAGATCCATCCATCAAACACCCATAACGCTATCGAAAATCTATTACACGCTCTCATTCATCATCACTCCGATCAAGATCTCAAACATATTGTTCAAAAAGTATTTGATTTGACACGGCGTGCTACAAGCGTTACAGTTCTACAACGTAACTTTCGCATACATTAACATACATTATATTCGTCG